ATTACACATGTCACAGTAGATAAAAGACAGGAGTTATTTAAGTAAAATTGACACTTAGTCATTAGCTCATCAAAATGAATTATAATATATAATATAATAATCAAAATGATAAAACTATGCATCTCTAACTATGGGAATAGAATGATGCGTGCCACTTGATCATTTGAATCATTTTTGTTTTGTATTTAGAAATGCATGTGTAAAATTTTTTGTAAAACTGTCTTTAAACTTTCTTATATTTGAAACAGTTTGCAGTTACTTATGTTATACTTTAAATGCACCTTCAAATACCGTTTTTCTGTTTTCTCAAGTGTGTTCAGCTTAATTAATAATGTTTGGATAGTATATGGGTTTAAAATATTTTCCACCAGAAAAACTTTCTTGGTCAAATTCTCATACAGTCTACAGCCATGAGTGATAAAGACTCAGACGTACCGCTCTTGAGTTCAGGATGGCAAAATTTCAAGTCTCTGCAGTTCCGCGCTGGGTTTTTACGAGAACCATCGGGACTAATAAGACTTTCTATTTGTCCATTAACAGACTTGAGGGAAGACATAATCTCCTCGGTGTTGATCTTGAAATCCATTGGTTCATCGCCATAGTAGGGTGCAAATCCAGCAGACTTTTCACCGCCTCCAAGGGAGGCAACACCTCCTCCACCACAGCAAGGACCAGGTGCACCAGGAGGTCCAGGGGGCCCTGGTTGCCCAGGGTGGCCTGGTGAGCCCTATGTGTCAATGAGACAATGTGTCAGTGAGACTTTTCTTGGATTTCCACTGAAGGACTGTGCCAAGTGTCTAGGAAAGTGAACTGTAAACAATCCACATATGTTGGGACAATTACTTTAATTTAAAAAAATGTAGGTGTTCTTGTAGTTTCATGATTGTCAACTTATAGCAAATGTAATTCATTACCAACAAATATGGGAGCGAACAGCCCCCCAAAGTACAATTCAAATACTGTCATGAGAAAATAAAAAAGGGCCTTTATCTTCTGGGTTCAAATTTCCATTGCCATTGCATCTCTGTGCTTGTGACATATTGATTTTTCATTTATCACGTGTATGTTTGTCAGAACAATGGTTTATTGCTACATTTTCCCCAAAGCTGTGGAACATGAAGACACTAGTCATGATTTTAGCAGTAGCAAGACTGTACATTGGAAAAGGTTGTTTAATGAATGGAATCTCTACAAAAATCAAATTGCATCCATGTGTTCTTTGGTGTGAGGTCGGCATGGTGTAGTTTGGTTAGTTACGTAGCTGTCGTTATATCAAAATATCACTCATCAAACTATACATTTTCTCCATGTCGCTGTGGCATCAAAAAAGTCTTACTGTAATGAAGACTGTTAAAATTAAGCCTTACTTTCTAAAGTAAATGATTACACCGTATTCAACAGGCTACTTCAGTTTAAAAACAATGAAGGGTTTCTGAAATGATGGACTACAGCGAGTTAAGTCATGCATATACGAGTAGTGCCCTACCTCAGATCCTCTTTCACCTCTGTTGCCTCGAGGTCCTGGCGGCCCAATGGGACCCGGATGTCCGCTTGTACCATCTTTTCCAGGAGGCCCATGTGGTCCAACTGGTCCCTGAAGAAATGAACACGATATTGTAATGCTAGAAGACATGCCTGCGGTGCAAACATTTCAAAATAGGCACCTACTGGCGGGCTTCTACGACACTTACTCTGGGACCGGCAGGTCCGGGACTACCAACTGCACCCTGGTGACCGGCAGCACCCTGGAAAGCAAGGAAGAACAGAGACTTGAGAAGATCTCCCACAGCTTATGGGATGGACTGTTTAAGATCAGACCAGACCACAATGACCGTGATGAAATAAACTTCTCTCTTTCTTTGCATTTCTTCGTGCTAATCCATTATTTGCAATAAGCTCTTGAGTTCATGTCTCATATCATCTAGCTTATTGTTCAGAGGTGGAAAGTGTTCTGCTCGGAGTCCCTCATCAGTCATGCAGTAAAGGAGGGCTTGCAAAAGCGGATGCACTCACAGGGGAACCTGGGGGACCTGGATTGCCTGGGAATCCTCGGTGTCCTTTGATGCCATTGGAGCCACGCTCACCAGTTTCACCTTTGTCACCTCGTGGACCTTGGGGACCCTTTAGAAATACATTTCAAATTAAGGTCATTATTATGTAAACATATTGAGGAAATAAAATTGAATTTATAATAAGTTGATTATAATTTGCAGAATTCTATTAGCTTTATAATAATTAACCTTTTATAATCTATTACATAGCATCTTCCTATAGATTGTAATAATAAATGTATTATATTATGTAGAATCCTATTAGCTAGAAATCCCCCTAAAAATATAACAGTGACGGTTTCAGTTTACAGTTTGGATTGGTGATGCAATCAATGCTCATAATTGATGCTGCCGTAATTAGCCGCATGAAACCTTTAGTTCAGAAGCTGAATCATTTTCTGTATCATCAACTATAAGTTTGTATTTACTCCACAGTTATGTATCTGTCATCCAATCTATTTCCTAGACCTTTCAAAAAGCAACAGAGTATTTTTTTTAACACTCTAAAATGAGTTTACAAACACAAAGGCTCAAACGCTTAATACTTACAGGAGCACCCCGAGCTCCAGCGGGACCCGGAGCACCAGAAGGACCAGCGGGGCCCTAGGAGATAAACAAACAAATGAGCACAGCCTGTGGGACTGAACTTAGTCACTCAACCCCATTTTGAAAAGTTGAGTGTGTCGGGAGGACAGGAGGATGTGAAAAGAATGGGGGAGGGTAAACATGGTCACAATATATTGTACAAGAATTAACTAAAATTTTAATTTAATTTAAAAAAAATTAAATACAGTGAACCAGTCTGAAATTTTACAAAAATGAAAACAGTTCTCCCTAAAAAAACATTTACTAGCTCCATTGTGGTGGGATAGTAGTACACATCCTGTTATTGGAAGCTAATATTCCTCTAGCCTTTAAAATCTGTTCCCTTCCTCCATCCTTACAAAGGAATCTAAACGGAAGCAGCAGGAAAAGAGCCCCGTTGATTCTAACTGCGTGCCTGCAGCAGATAGACGGATGCCCACTGATCCCGACTGGAATCAGCGCAGATACATCCCAGTGGACAGAAGCAACCTGCTATCCGGACCCCGGTCTTCTTTGGACGGACCAGGGCACATAAAGAGAAGATGCTTATGGGAACTCACCGCTTCTCCTCGGTCACCACTCTTCCCAGCTGGACCGACAGGACCAGGTGGCCCTGGATGACCAGGAGCCCCTGGGGCACCAGGAGAACCATTTTCACCACGATCACCCTGGAACAAATCCACGAATCTCACGTAACTATGACAGCCATCAAATTGAATTATGCATGTCTACTGTACATAGTTTGTTATACCTTGCCACCAGGGGATCCATCTCGTCCTGGTTGACCATCTGATCCTGGGTTTCCCTGGTTAAAAGGGGGGAGGGGGAGAAAGATGACTTGAAATTATCCAAATACTATGCAAGCCTTTTATTCTTTTAAGAGATGATCTCTATTTAGTATACAAAGTATTAGATACCACAATGGTAGTTTTGAACAAAGACTACTTTAACAAATTTTCCTTCCCGCTCATGCCCCATCCCCTTGCTGCCCCTGTCTCTCAGAAGAAGTGAAAATTGTTTTTGGCAATAAGAAATTCCATATATTACAATGTAGTTTAGCCCTGTGAAGAACTGTAATTCTTTGGCAGATATGCAGGATATCTATTTTCCTAAAATTTCACAAAATAATATGAGGAGAGCAATAATGAAAAAAAATGGTATTTATAGTACAGTTAGCAAATGATTTTTGAGGAATGGAGATCTAAATTTATGATGGAAATCCAAAGTTAAGTTTACTTAATATTTCAGCATCAAATATAGCTCTCAAAATACATAGACCCTGTTAAATATTTTGTTAATATAGAATATTAATTGAAAAATTAATAATTACCAATGAATAAAGAACATTTTTATACAAAACTGTATGCTGTAATTTTCTTTATCAACCTGTTTCCTAAATTAGTTAAGCAGCTGCATTTCCTTCATTGGTGAATTTATTGAGAGATATTATTGACCACAGGCATTAATAATATTCTAACTTATAGCAGGATGGTTATCAGAGAGGGAAGGAGAGCTCTCTGATATAGGTTACATGGACCTATGTCTAGATCGTCATAGACATTAAGGGCTCTTTGACTAATGCCTGAATTTCATACTGGAGAGATTGCAATGGCTAGAGGCATTTGTGACTAAGTCTGATGCCAAGAGTTCACTCCTGGGGAGCTATGTGGCAGAAGGAGACAACTGACCTCCTTAAAAGCTGTTATCTGACCTCCATATGTGCATCATAGTTCCTATGGGCCCATTTGTACACACATAAACAAACACAATTAAATACACATCATTGAAAAAGAAAATGTATCCAACAACTTGAATGTTAGCTGACTGGTTGGATATCTTCTTTCAGTTGCTACTTACATCTCTCCCAGGTTCACCAGCTGTACCAGGTTGACCAGGAAGACCTTGGGGTCCAGGAGGACCACGTTCCCCGTTATGGCCACTGGCTCCCGGTTTTCCACTTTCACCCTGTGTAAAAAGAAATAAAAGACGTTTTCACTTTAAGTCACCAACTATTGGGATGTAGGCAGATTTCTTCATCTTGGAAGGGGAAATGTGTTTTATTCAACTTATATTGCTGTTCAACTTTCTTAAAGCCATACCCTTTATAGGGAAAAAATTGGGGGAGCAAGATTTTTGGGTTTTCCTAACCGCACAGTGGTTCAGAAAGGCAAAAACTCTTTTTAAAACATTTGGTTGTGAGGAAGAGAAATTCATGAGTAGAGAAATAGAAATATTAATGATAAACCATCATCTTGCTGACCTTGAGAATCAGGATTTATTAGAGTCTTGGGAAGACGTGCTAAGTACTGTTAAACTTCCTGTTGTTATTTTCTGACATATTTTGAAATGGGTACATAAAGTATCATATTATGAAATCAGATACAAGTGGAATCGTGTAAGCTTATTTGCCGAGTGCACACTTCAGATACTAAGCCCTCTAACGTTATGGTAATATCAATGAAAGAAAACCAAGAGAGCAAATGGCTTGAAGGGATGGGCAGCTGACATCAATTAAGCTTTGATATATTTCGGAGCTGCAGCACCTTCTCCCTTCACAGCTGTAGTGAAAAAACTAGAGAAGGTTCACAAGTTTCCTAACAGTGGTGTTTGAAATATCAAAATTGATTTTTCTGTGACATTGGCTTGTCTGTGTATATATTCAAGTCTTGTTTATGACATGCTTTCCCTATGCATTTTGGAATGATTAAATAAAAGTTTTGTTTTTTATAAACCTAGATGTATAGAGAAGTTCAGATCTTTCATAATTTGTGTAGCGATGAGAAACCATCTCATATCTGATACAGTGAAGAAATCTCTACATCCATGAAGGGAAGCAAGAATCCAGCGCAAGAAAACTACACTTACCTTGATACCTTGAGGCCCAGGGCTACCCCTAGGACCTGGCATGCCTGGTGGTCCAGCAAGACCTCTTGCTCCAGTAAGTCCTGCAAGTCCAAGTGGGCCTGGGGATCCCTGTTGCAATAGATAAGAAAGACTCAGCTCGTTTCTACACAGTTATATTTCCCTTATTAAATTTGTTATCAAAATATATGGTCAATCAAAAGAACAACAGGGCCACTCACCGGAGGTCCCTGAGCACCAGGTGGTCCCTTCTCTCCAGGTTGGCCAGCATCACCTTTTGGTCCCGCTATTCCAGGGTTGCCAGGAGAACCACTGTTCCCAGCAGGTCCTGGAGGGCCATCCTTGCCAGGAGCTCCACTTGGCCCTGGGGGGCCTGGGTTACCCTGCAAATAAATGAAATTTAAAATATACATTAAGAGTTTTTGTTTTGTTTTGTTTTGTTTTTTTGTCCTTGCCTTTTACTTAATTTCAATTTTATATGGGATTTGGCAGATACATATCAAGATATCACTTTCTCATCCTAGATATATGAAGTCTACCAGTAAGATGCATTCAAAGAAGACTAGAAAGTGCTTACATTGTTGCCAGGGGGACCAGGAAGACCACGCCCACCAGGAAAGCCAGCAGCACCCTGTGAAGCAGAAATGCAGCCATCAGAGACAAACTAGAACATAAATCTTTGCCCACACAAATGTCAAGGAAAGGAATGGACCAGGACCTGAATTCCATCCTAAAGTTATTTATGATGTCCCACCTCCGCTTCAGATTTACACCCAACTGCCCGTGACTGACTGTCACAGTCTCTCTGTCGCTCTAGTGCCGTTAGGAGGTCTTTCCATAGTTTGGGACACATTACATTTTTTTTTCAGTAACAACTCAGAGAGTGACAGTTAAGGGGATCAGTACTCACAGGACCACCAGGACTGCCGCGTTCACCCTTGACACCCTGAGGACCAGGAGGACCCTAAATACAAAAGGGAGGAAGGACGTACTAAGTTGAGCACCAACATGAAAATATGACAAAAGCATTAAGCATTAGGAGGCCAGCAATGTCGCCCTAAAGAGATTAAAATAGCTCACATCTGATAATATCTAAACTACTGAAACCAAAATTCAGATTGAGTATATCCTTATAAAGATGATTATATTCTCCTCTCATAACACAAGATCTTATATGAAATGTTAAATTATTAATAAACCAAAATGTTTTATGGGATTATTTAGCAATAAGACTCACAGCGGGTCCAGAACCTCCAGGGGGTCCTGCGGCTCCAGGAGGGCCTCCTTCACCTTTCTCTCCAGGGGCGCCTCTTTCTCCTTTAGCACCTGGTTCGCCATTTTGTCCCTGCACACAGCAACAGCAATAGCCTGTGAGCTAACTTCCTCCACAATGCACTTGGGTTAACA